TGGTAATGGTAATGGTAATGGTAATGGTAATGGTAATGGTAATGGTAATGGTAATGGTAATGGTAATGGTAATGGTAATGGTAATGGTAATGGTAATGGTAATGGTAATGTGAATGGGAATGGGAATGGGGATGGGAATGGGAATGGAAATGAGAGTCCTGCACTCTGTTTTCATTCAGCAATGCGTCTAATCAACTCTGCCACCGTCATCACGAGCTGGCCCACGACAGAATGAGAATGCTAAAGAGTATATATTCGGCATTATGCAATAGCTGATTCCCTTGAAACGAGGAGTCGGAACGGCACCGCGCAAGAAGAGGGAGAGGGGGGAGGGAAGCTTGAGCGAATATAGTGGAATACAGGGGAGCATGGTGAAGACGCCGTTGGGTCCCTCAATCCCGTGCCCGTTTGCAAGCACACTCCGCACTAACATGAGTGACCTGCACTCTGTTTTCATTCAGCAATGTGTCTAATCAACTCTGCCACCGTCATCACGAGCTGGCCCACGACAGAATGAGAATGCTAAAGAGTATATACTCGGCATTATGCAATAGCTGATTCCCAAAACGTCCCGAAAGGTAGTGAGCTTATGAGTTGATTGAGTATTGGTAAGCACGTTGACATACAGCCGTACTGCACAGCATTTTGGCCAGGAGCTGGGAAAAACGGGGTGGGTAAGTCTGGGCCTGGGATGTCATACGTTTGCCCTCCAGCTCCACGTGAGGTTTCCCAGTGAAACAGCAAGTCCCCCGACCGTGGCACATATACTTATCGCACAAGTTGACATCAAAGGGGTCGCAGTTGCCGAACATGAGTTGGGTACGCTTTCGCCACGGCGTTCCAAAGGCACACTGGTCGATAATCTTAACATGCACCTTGGGATCGTTCGCGAACTGGATGAAGCCTGGGACCCACCAAAGTAAACTTGTCGCTGGGTTCTCGACGGCCCACGGGACGCCCAGGGCGTGGATGTACCGAATGAGCTTGAGGATCCTGCGGGCCTGGAGATTTCCGGTCCGAAGGGCTTCCAGATCATTGGCCGAGAAGGGTTTGGTTGGTTTCGTAACACCCCAGGGCTCAGTACGCGAACGGATCACGTTGGTTCTGTGACGAGCGATGCCCCAAGAGCGGCACTCGATAGCGATCATGGCTGCAACCAACTTACCATTTTTGGCCTCCGAGCACAAAAGCTGATGTTCTTCAGAAGTGTCAGATCCAAAGAGTCTGAAATAGATTTGTCCCACAGCCGAGCCCGAATACCGCATCTGCCTGCTGCTCGGCCCACGCCGCCTGCGCCGCCAAAAAGATCGGCTAGGTACGGCGTCGCTTCTTTGGGGCCGAGCTCGGGATGACGGGCGGTGCGATGGCCGAGGGGTCGATCTGGCCGCACAAAAGGGGCCCGAGCTGGAGCTCGCACCTGTGCACGTGAGACGCCAACGAGGCGCTCAGCTTGTCGACGCTCTCGACAATCTTGGCCTTGCTGTCGTACCTCAGCACCGACTTGTCCGCCTTCCACCGCCCCCTGCTCTTGATCTCTGCCCGGGTGCGATACTTCATGGCGGCGTCGATGGAGGCGCCTGAGTGCCTTGCCTGATAAGGCACGGCCGTCAGCCCCAGCTTCTTGCAGGCGATCTTGAACTGGCGCGTGTAGCTGCTGCACTTGAAGCTGAAGACCTTGGCCTTGGGGTCGCCTGCTCGCAGCGCAGCAACCACCGTCGTCAGGTAGGGCACCCACCTGCAGCTCAGGTCGATGCTCTCGTCCGTCGCGTACGTCTTGGACGCCGCTCCCCGCTCCTGCCGGAAGGCGAAGCAGATCCACGAGGCAGAGAGCCCATGCGCCGGGGCGAGGAGGTCCTCCTTCAGCAGCTTCAGGGGCTCCGAGGGCCGCATGTAGGTCACCAGCATGAACAGCGTGTACACCCCCATGTTCCAGAAGTTCGCGCGGCACAGCTCCCAGATGATGGCTGCCCAGATGCTGAAGGCCAGGGGGCGGCGCGATCGTGGCGGGCAGCGGCGTCTCCAGCCTTTCAGAGCCCGGTAGCACCGGGAAAGATGAAGGCCTCCATGCCGCCCGAACTCGGGCAGGAAGTGCTCCAGCCCGGCCACGAGCTTCTCGCCCTTGCTGAGGTTCTCGCCTTGGTCGAAAAGCTCTTGCAGCTGCCGCGCCACCGACGCGTCCACCTCGGCAGCCACGCCGAGAGGCTCGCCCAGCTCGCGGGCTCGAGCCCGCCAGGCGTTCACCGCGTCGTAGTAGTCGGTCTCCGTCTTCCACTGAACCGCGCTCGACTCCAGCGGCAGAAGACCCAGCCCCTGCAGCCGCTTCGCCTCCACCGGCTGGCGCGCTCGCCCGACCCGCGGGGCCGCCAAGACTCGCACTCGGCGAGCCGGCCGCACTTGAACCTTCACGGTGTCGGAGGTCGCGTCGCTCTCGTCGTCCTTGTCTGTCACCTCTCCGTCGCTCAACTCGTCGAGCGTCCGTTGCTCCGTCTCCTTCGGGGCCTGCTCCAGCTTCGCCACCAGCGCGTCCCCGGGCGCCAGACGGCGGGCCCGGGTCGCCCTGCCAGTCGCGGGCGCCGGCGTGAACGTCACCAGGTTCCTCGAGACCACGGGCGCCGCGGGGATCGTCGTCGACCCGCGGGGCAGGCGGCCTGATTGCGCCTTCGCCCGCGGCACGGCGCGGGCAGGCCCCAACCTGGGGCCCCTCTCCATCACATCTGAGTGGTTCAGGAACAGTGCGGGAATAGCCAACAGAGTCAAGGTCAGCACGTGAGCCAACATGTTCTACCGAAAACCGACGGGACGGCTCATCCGCAGTATTCCACTCGGAAGGTATCCAGCGAAAACAGACTCGCAGTCCGAGGGCCAAGCACCACGACCCCATGCGTCTCATACACATCAGGGTCCTGAAGTCCGTGGTGCGCCCCCGAGCGAAGGCTAGACACACCCCCATGTTATCAACCAAGAAGAGCACCCTCGCGTTCCTGACTTGGTACTCGCTCACCAGCGCCTGAAATCCCAGGACCAGGGCCCTAGCCTCCAAGGTGAAAATGCCCTCGTCAAAGTACTTCCAGGGGCCCGCCAGAAGGGTACTCCAGTGGGCTTGCGTGAGCAGCTTGTGGGGGACCTCCGGGAAGCTAGAGTCCACCTCATACGGCCTGTCGAACTCCCCCTCGTCCGCCTCAGATCCAAGCTCCTCAAGACTCCCGAAAAACCTTGACCGGGCAGAAACTCCAGGAAGCTTCCGAGAGCGGCCCCTCTCCAGGATCCTCCCCACCTCCGAGACGTCCTGAGGGTCCCACTCTGAGACGGTGGCCCCGAACCCCTCCTCCGAAGCGTCCGTGGCCACGACACCAGGGGACCAGGGCAGCGCCCACGAGGCATCCATCAGGAACAGGAGGGAGGCAGCGGTCAGCATCTCCTGCCTAGCGGTGCCCCACAGCGGCATAGGGGTAGCGTAGTACTTATTTATGAAGGCATAGATACTCCTGAAGACACTCATCATGCTACGATTGATCAGCGCGCAGAAGGTGAGGTGGCCCAGCAGCACTTCCCAGACACGTCCAGACAGCTTCCGACACGACAAGGCATACAGAACACCCTGGCGCACCTTCCATTGTCGAGCGGGCGCAAGAGAAACTCTAAGGCCCTCGAGGTCGATGTGGGTCCCCAGGGCCTTCGACGAAGTGGCACTCACCTCGTGCTCGTGGGTCACGAGCCCAACGCTCTCGAAACGAGCCGCCGCGTCGGACAGGATGGACGAGGTATGAGAGGGATCACAAGAGAGAACACCCAGATTGTCAACGTAGATGTAGTGACATATCCCGGAGCCCTCCAAGACGAGCCCCCCCTTCTCGTCCTCGCCTTTCTCAGCAAACCTGAAGACCCCAGGCCGACCACGATCACGAAGGAGGACAGAATCACGAAGACCAGGAACATTAGCCATACGATGCTCACCCGCTTGCTGGCAGAAGTAGAGTGACCAAGAGAAACCCATAGGAAGAGAAGCCCAACATATGTCGACCTGGTCATCAACACCCAAGACGCTCCCGCCAACATTGGTTCCCACGACCTTCAGTTCCCCTGCTGTGGCGGCACCCAAACCGAAGTAACTCGCCAGGCCCAAGGGAAGACGAAACCGATGGAAAGCGTCCTTAACATCCGCCAGCCCCAGACACATCTGGGCGCTACGAAGTTGATCAGGAGTAGGACTAGAGCAACCAGGCGGAAGAGAAACCTCGATCCTCGCGAGGCTCTCTGACGAACAGAGGTGGACTCCAGGGGGATCAGCAAAACGCCTATTCGCACGACGAGCATCAATGATGAGCCGACTCTTACTTTTACCGGCCTTCTTCACAAAGAACATACCGACGTGCTCCTGCGCCGAACCAGCTGGCAAAAGCGTGACCAGTCCAATCCGCAGAAGCGCCCGCATCAGCCGCAGAAACTTGCGGCGGCTGCGAGAAAGCACAGGGTCCCAATAGGGAGTTATAGAGGGCAGCGACTCCTGTCGCTCCAAAAAGTCCGTCGAGGTGCGCAGCATGCGCTCGTAGTTCTGCTCCAAGAATTGGCTCGCCTCTGGGCCCACAACCTCCTGCACCGAAGGGGCGCCGACGAGGCTGTCAGGCAGGCTCACAGAGGAGACATTGGAGAAACTGGCAAGGTTGTGTCCACCGGGCTCTGCATCGTACACAGCCCGGCCGCGCAGCAGCTCGAGAAAAGCCGCTCGCCGGCTAGGGATCGCGACGCCTGAGGTCAAAAGGGAAGAGATCCGGTCTCTGACGCGCGCATGCACACTAGCCTGCTCTGAGGTACGCGGCGGCCCGTACTCGGGGCGATGCCGGTCCCCAGCCATCCAATTCAAAGCGTCACAGTTGCGTTGACATCAGCATTCAATCTCCGCAAATGGCCTCGCAGGCCAGAAGCCTGTCGGCCACGTCCGCTGGGCACGGCAGGTGCCGGGGAGAGGGGAATTGGAAAGAGCGGCAGCATGGCAACGCGCCTCACACGGCTGTCACCTGCCACCGAGTCTGGGCCTCCAGCGTCGACTCGACCACGGTCGGCGCCGGCCCCGAGCATCACCCCTGTCCCGGCAACTTCACCTTCTCCGCCTCCGCGCCGGCTCCCTGTTTGGGCTGACCACGTCCTCTGCCCTCCGGGTCGCCCTTGGGCCCCCCGCCGCGGCCGCCTCCGCCTCCGCCTGCGCCAGGAAGGACAGGTTGACTGCCCTCAGCACCGGCACCCGGATGCAGCCCGCGCGCCTTCATGCGCATGTTCTCGATCTCCACCTCCTCCTTCGCGCGGCGGTGGGCATGCGAGCGCAGCTCCGGCGGCACCACCGAGGCCGAGTTGGCCAGAGGCATGAAGTGCTCCACGCCCTCCCAGTTCGCGCGGCCAGGAGCGCCAGTGGAGTACGCCTCGATGATCTGGCACACCCTCCTCGACACGGCCTCGATGCTCGCCAACGATGGCCCGTTGACCTGGTCGTAGCAGCCGCTCAGGTACAGGATGTCCAGCAGGAGCTTCATCTCGATGCCCGTGCGCTCCTGAGGGCTGACGCCCGCGCCCCGGCACCATATGGGATAGAACAGGCGAGGATCTCCCCCTTGGCGCTGGATGTTCTTGAACAACGCGAGCGTGGTCGCCGGCCCCTCGCGGTGCTTCTCCCAGTCGCTGAAGTGGCTGAACGAGATCTCGGCGCAGACCGATCGCCAGTCCTTCTGCCGCTCCCCGTGCTCGTCGTAGCTCACCGACAAGATCCTCGCGTCCTCGCCCGCAGGAGGGGTCTTGGTGCCGCCGTCCAGGGCCTCGCTCAGGCGGCCCTCCAGACCCTTGTCCGTCTTCACGGCGGCGCCCTCCTCGTCCAGGATCTTGCGCACCGTCATGTGCACCGTGTCCAAGAAGGTGGCCACGTCGGCGATCGGCACCCGTTTCACTGGCACCGGCCGCCGACTCGCGTCCAACGCCATGGCGTAGTCACCTGCCATCTCGGCGTCTGGAGCAGGATGGCGCTCCCGACCGAAATCAGGGTGGACCGGGTCGACGATGAGCCAGGTGACGTCCGGCGGCGGGCCAGCGGGCGCGGCCAGCGGCAGAGCCGCGGCGCCCGGCGCGACAGCAGGCCTCGCCTCACCGTCGTCCCCAGCCAAGGGCACCAGCTGCGCCCCGTCCGAGTCCATCAGCGCCTGATACTCGACCTCACTCCCGTCCCACAGGGCAATGGCCTCAGGCGACGGCCGCCGACGACGAGTGATGCCATAGGACTCGCCCTCGGCCAGCTTGATCTGCTCCACCAGGTCCGCGGCGTCGAACGCGGTGCGAAACCGGTAGAAGTGCCCCTTCATCGGCTCCAGCAGCTCGGCATCAGGGACGAGATGCACCGCCTGCACCGCGCCTGAAGTACCCCGGCGGCACCTGATATTCTCAGAGTAGCGATGCCCATCGGGAGTGGTGATGATCCACACCCCTGGCCGCACCTCCGCCAGCGCGACCCGCTCGTGCCAGTAAGTGTCGTCCTCATACCAAAGGGCAAACCGCTTGCCCGGCTTCATCTCACGCATAAACTCCTCCTCCGGCACGACGAGGCCGCTGGAGGAGAACAGCTGGTACTTCCTGTTCGACAGCATGACGCCGACGGCACCTATCGGTCAGGCGACCGAGCAGATCCCTGCCCGCCCCACCGATGAGCACCCAGAGCAACGGCCAGGCGTTCCAAGCGGCCTCCAGCGCCGCCTGCACCAAGGCGAGCTGCTCCTCCAGGCGAAGCGCCGCCGAGCGGATCTCCGCCAGCTCCTCGGGCACCTCGCCCAGGCCGAGAGCCGCAGGGCCACCCGGCGGCCCCGGGTCGGGCGCGCCGGCCACCGACACACAGTCGGGGCAGATCAGCGCCGGGCAGAATGGCGCCGGGCACACCGGCTGCGGGCAAGCAGGCGCGGGCGTCGAGCTCCAGAGCCCTAGCGCCAGCAGCCCATGGACCGCGGCCGCCGCCGCGGCTGCCAGGGGCCCGCGCGGGAGGCCCATGCGAGCGAACCTGTGAAAGCTTGAGCGAATATATAGTGGAATACAGGGGAGCATGGTGAAGACGCCGTTGGGTCCCTCAATCCCGTGCCCGTTTGCAAGCACACTCCGCACTAACATGGTAGTGGTAGTGGTAACGGAAATGGGAATTGTAAGGGTAAGGGTACAGGTAAGGGCAAAGGTAAAGGTAAAGGTAATGGTAATGGTAATGTCAATTGCAGTGGTAATTGTAATGGTAATGGTAATGGTAATGGTAATGGTAATGGTCATGGTCATGGTCATGGTAATGGTAATGGTAATGGTAATGGTATTGGGAATGCGAATGGGAATGGAAATGGACTGGCAATGGCAATTGTACTGGTACTGGCAATGGCAATGGTGATGGTAATGGGAATGGGAATGGTATGGGTAAAGGTAATGGTAATGGTAGTGGTAATGGTAGTTGCAGTGGTAGTGGCAGTAATGGTAATGGTAATGGTAATGGTAATGGTAATGGTAATGGTAATGGTAATGGTAATGGTAATGGTAATGGTAATGGTAATGGTAATGGTAATGGTATGGTAATGGTAATGGTAATGGTAATGGTAATGGTAATGGTAATGGTAATGGTAATGGTAATGGTAATGGTGGTAATGGTAAGGGTAATGATGAGGAGCAACGTGAAAGATCGTAAAAACTCGCCTGGAACCCACAGCGACTCCACAAATTCCCGGCCTCTCCTCCTCCTCCTCCTCCTCCTCCGCCTCCTCCTCTTCCTCCTCCTCCTCCTCCTCCTCCTCCTCCTCCTCCTCCTCCTCCTCCTTCTCCTATTCCTGCTCCTCCTCCTCCTCCTCCTCCTCCTCCTCTTCCTCCTCCTCCTCCTCCTCCTCCTCCTCCTCCTCCGCCTCCTCTTCCACAGGAGGAGGAGGAGGCGGAGGGCCAAAGAGGGGACGGGTTGGGTTTGGGGGGGAAGATGGGCGGAGAGCCTGGCGGCTCAGTCCCAAGGAGTTGGGGAGGGGAGGGACAAGGGGGGCTCAGGAGGGAGACGGAGCTGCAGCAGAGAAGGCCTCTGGTACGAGGGCGAGGATGAGGAGAGAGAGCCGGAGGGGGAGGGGTGCCCGATCGGCGGCTACGAGACGAGGACGGGAGAGCGGCGAAGGTGGGATCTGGTTCGTCATCTTCGCCGCCATCGTTTGGCCACCTCTTGGCAGTGCCGCCCCAGGGCGGTGCTCCCCCCTGCGCATGGTCATCCTGACGGCCGTGTGCATTTTCAGCATTCCTTCTTCGGGATGAGGATGGAAAGAGAGAGAGTGAGGGAAAGAGAGAGAGAGAGGGCGTGGATGTGGGATGAGTCCCGATGCTAGGACGAGAGGAGGATCAGAAGTGGAGCAACGATGGGGAAGGCCGACAAGGAAATCACAGGGTCACAGAGGGCCCCAGCTCGCCAGGAGAACTCGGAACCCCATGAGAGGGTGCACCCAAAGGCGCGCAAGCGCACGCATGTGATCCGAACGAAGACGTCATATCATCTCATCACCAACATGTGAGGAGTCGGGTAATGCGACCAAACAATTGAAAAACGCCCGGGGGGGTCGCAACGCTCCGCTGGGGAGTGCACGGTTGGAAAGAGATTCCCGCTTCGTAGCCATCGTCGCCGTCGAGGCAAACAGGCCACAGCCAGCGACCCAGATGAGAGATACTTGTCATTTCAATCGTCCCTGCCAGTTTTTTAGGTTGATCGCTTAGTCGCATTACGTGGCGGCGTCTCATTCGTGACCGGTGCACACAGAAGGGACCTACGCGGCACCACCATGCCTGGCCAGGAACGTCCTAGGCCCAGCGATGGTGTACACGCCCTCCTGTTCGACTGAGGTCTATAAAGCATCTAACGGCAAATAATGGCCCTGACCAGGCATGGCGGTGGCCTATGAGGTCCTTTTGCGTAAACCATGCGTGATACCTGTAATGCTCAACACGCGCACACACACATACACACCACACACACACACACCACGCTGCCCCGTGTCTGCAAGATGCCAGCCCTCGCTCCGGCCTCGCGGAGCTCGGTGGCCTCAGAGTGACGAATCCAGTTGGGCCGACCGGACCAGATCTGACTCACTGACTGAAGAACGAGCAGAATAAGTAAGGAACAAAAAACCGGGGAGGTGCAGCATGTCTTGCACCGAAATGAAGCATCAACATCCAAGCCTACGGGAGTTATGCACTATATCCATGGGGAACGACGGATATGGACACGTCCCCACCCTCAAGGACGGGCATATGTCCATTTCCACCAACCCCCGAGATGGCCCCGAGATCCCAGGGCACGATTCCGAAGCGGTGGCAAATCGAAACCCTGCGGCAGACACCCCCCCCCATCGGAGCACCTCCTGCGGTCCCCCCGCGAACACGACCCAGCATCCGTGTGACTGCTCTACACTCCCGTGGACGGCCCCATCTAGACCTAGCACAGCCTCCCCAAGTATCCCTCAACTGTCAACTGTCACAACCCCGTCCGGACAACCCTGCCCAGAGACGCCGCTGACAGGACAACTCCCCGCGCACGGTCCTTTCCGACCAGTACCTTGGCAAACAACCTCCAAAAAAGCCCTGACCTGGCAACCCACCAAGACGACCCCGACTACGCGGCCCCCGAGAAAACACCGACCTAACAACACGCTCCCGGACAGCCCAGCCCCCCTCCGAACTTTTTTATCTGCGGCGAACTGGGGCGCGACGGCTACGCCCTCGGGGGAAGGAAGGCGGGAGCGAAGGGCGGGTCGGGAGGGCCGCGGAGCGGCTCGTGCGCCCTCAGAGCGTGAAGCACTTCGGGATGTGCCGGAGACAGGCTCGAGAACTCGCCGCTGTCAGTGCGTGCGCAGATGCATCGCAAAGCCCCCCACCGAACATGGTAGGCCTGTGCTTTCACTTCCACCGCCACAGGCCAAGGGCGGCGGCTGACCTGTGGTGGCTCTCTGCTGCGCGAGGCGCCCACCGCGCCCAGCAAAGCACTTCCACAGGTCAGCGGCCCTGGTCTACAGTGGTGCTGTCGATGATCTCCAAGAAGTGTTAGCGCCAACGTGCGCCTGTCCACCGCAGCCCCTCAGTACGACGCAGACGGTGTAGTGAGGGCCGAGGCGAACTGTGTGCTGTCGACGGGGCTGAGCGAGGTCAACACACTGGGCTGGCACACGTCCTGAAGATCACCGATGATGGAAAGAGTAACACGAGAACAAGCCCCCCAGACAGCCCGCCCAGAAAGACTCTGCCCGCGGCAATCTCTCCACAGGATGACAGGACCGCTAGGCGACGTAATGAAAGAGCCTCGGCCGAGAGAGCGGCCCGCAGTGCGCCCGTCGTGAACCATCTATGCAGATAAGCAATCGGCACCACGCTACGGGCCAGTGCTTCTGTCTTGACGCTCTCCAGTTCCGCCGCCCGCTTCTGGCTTAAGAAATTATCTCGAAGCCCAGATCGGGCAGGGAGCGCGGGCGGCGATCGGGGCCCAGGTGAAGCGGCAGGAAAGGGAGTGAGAGGGGGAACGATCGATAGGGAGGACTGGCTTACGAGGGACGGGGAACCTTGACTTGGAATCGTAGCTTTCGACCTCCTCCTCCTCCTCCTCTTCCTACACCTCCTCATCCTCCCCGTCGTCGTCATCATCATTATCATCGTCATCATCATCACCACCCCACCACCACCACCACCACCACCACCACCACCATCATCATCATCATCATCATCATCATCATCATCATCATCATCATATTCATCCTTATCCTCATCCTCATCCTCATCCTCATCATCACCATCACCATCACCATCACCATCACCATCACCACCATCATTACCAACAACAACAGCATCATCAATAACCGTCATCATGATAAACATCATCATCAGCATCATCATAATATTCTTCATCATCAGCATCGTCACCATCTTCATCATCATCGTCATCGCCATCGTCATCGTCATCGTCATCATCATCACTACCGTCATCACCTCTCATAGTAGTGATGCATCTCCCATCCCCTCCAGATCTTCCGCATCCTGTCATTGTAATCCTCCCTCCCTCCTTCTCTCCTTACGCCTCCATCTCCTCGACAACATGCGCCTCACCCTTTATAATCATCCTCATAATCATCATCCTCATCCTCCTCCTCCAACTCATCATCAGCATCATCATCAGAATCATCATCACCATCACCTTCACAATCACCAGCATCCTCATCCTCATCATCATCAGCATCATGACCAGCATCAGCACCAGCATCAGCATCAGCATCAGCATCAGCATCATCATCATCGTCATCATCATCAGCATCAGCATCATCATCATCATCATCGTCGTCGCCCTCCCACCACCTACCCACCGTGTTTCACCAGCATCATCCTACACGTCATCATAATCAGTATCCGTATCTCCATAATCAGCATAATCATCATCAGCAGCAGCAGCATCATTATCATCATCATCATCATCATCATCATCATCATCATCATCATCATCATCATCACCATCATCATCACCATCATCATCACCATAATCCATCCATCCATCCATCCGTCCGTCCGTCCACCCTCACCTCCCCGCTTCCCTCCCCGCATACCCGATCCTGCCCATCCATCCGTCCTTCCCGTTCGTGCTACCTCCCTCCCACCCTGCATCCCTCTCTCGTTATGCCGCCCAGTCCTTCTCGTCCTCATCACGCTCCGCCATCATCACCCGCATTCCCTCATCACCATTTTCCTCATCATCACCACCACCGTCGTCAACACCATCATCATCAACAGCAGCAACAGCATCAATAACCATCATCATCATCATGATCATCATCAGCAGCATCATCAGATTCTGTATCACCAGCATCATCACGTTCAGCATCATCATCACCACCATCATCATCATCACATTAATCAGCATCATCACCACCATCATCATCAGCAGCATCATCAACATCATCAGCATCAGCATCAGCATCATCATCATCAGCAGCACCATCAGCATCATCAACATCATCCTCATCCTCATCCTCATCCTCATCATCATCATCAGCATCATCATCATCATCATCCATCATCCCTCCTTCGGCTCCCCCATTCATCTTCTCGCAACATTCTCATCAACACGCACATCCTTAGGTTGAATGCTATATATTTCTCGCGGCGCTCACCCGCGAACCGATCTGATGGGGGATCGGAGCTTGGCTGAGTCGATGACCTCCTTCATTGCAGACATGGCGTCTGCCACGGCTTTCGCCAGCTCCTCGGTACTCCTAGTGAGCTCCATGATGGTGGCCTCGGGAGGGCAGAAGGAGAGAGAAGGAAGGAGGGAGGATGAGAAGCAGGAGGAGGAGGAGGAGGAGGAGGAGGACGGGGAAGGGATGGAGGCAAGGAGGGAGGGATGGAGAGAGGAGAAAGACGAGAGGACGGAAGGGGGAAGACGGGAGTCGGTTGCAGCTTTGCTTACCTACTGGAGAGGAAGAGCCGAAGTGAGAATCGGGAATCATGAATCGGAATTAGAACAATTGCGAAGCAACGTCCAAATAAAACTCAACACATCACGTCAAACCTTGTGGCCTAGGTGGGATCCCTAGAAGAAACCGATTGACATAATCAAGCTGTGCGCAGGGAGATCAAATCGGGACGACATTGCTGGGCAAGAGCTCGGAGCTGATCCTTGCCACACGCACCGCACTTCCTGCACAACCACGCCCTGACGCACTGAGATTATATCATGCTGTGTGATGTCTCCACCCTCCTCCTCCCAGCATGCACCCAACATCGGGAAGGAGGAGGAAAACTCCACCATGCACACATACACACACTGACACACACACGCACACACACACAAACAAACAAACAAACAAACACACACACACACACACACTTTTGGGCGTCGCGGTAAAGCACGCAGCGGTGCGGCGTAGCACAGGTCTAGCAAGAGCGAAACGCGCGCGGGCCGACCCAGATCATCACACACACACACACTTTTGGGCGGTCGCGGCCTCGCGCGAAACGACGAGGCGGAGCAAGTCGAGCAGTCGGCACCGTCGGCACCGTCGGCACCGAACTGGCGCGCGCGGCCGGGCCATCAAACGCGGGACCGCGTTGGGTCGACCGCACATGTCCACTGCGGCAGGGTGGGGAGTGAGACAATTGAGGCAGCGTCCGAAGACGGAGACGGCGGTACCCGACGAGCGACACCGACAGGACGCGGAGCAAAGGCCGGGCTGAAACCCGAAAGGACGGGAAGCCGGCCGAGGAAGTGGCGACAGAGAGTGGAAGTACACGGAACTTGGTGTAGAGGATCGCCGCCTTCCTGAATAGCCTGGACCATGTCTGCCTGAGCGAAATGAGATCACCCGCGTCAAGGAAGCAAACTGGCCTGCATTGCGGAGAGACTTTGGCGAAGACGACGCAGTGCGGGGCGGGGAGCATCCTGGCAGTTTGTGGAGCCTAAATGACTCCAAATTACGCATGACCACAGTGAGAGGAAACAGTACGTGCGCGAAGGAACGGCACATGTATCCCATGAGAACAGCGCCAAAGAGAGAGCAAGAAGGGATGCAAGCATGAGCGTGTCAGCTCACAACCATGGCAGCTTCCATAGCAGCGGCATTGTTTTGACATTCCGAGCACACTCCAACGTCGCATGATTCGCACATCAAGAAACTCTCATGTGCACTGATGTCCTGCCCGCAATAATCACAGCAGCACGTTCCCGACAAAGGGGTGGTGCGATCGCGGAGCCCATGCATAGCCGAACAGTTAAACTGACAAGTATCTTCGCAAAGGATCACTTTGTCCACCACAAGCTGCGCATCACCAGTCGTGCCACCAGAAGGTCCCTCCTGAACCTGGGGGTCCTGAGGGGCATCACGAACGGAGGAAACACCAAGCCTGCTTTTGAGCTCTTCAATCGTCCCCATAGGGTTGACGCTGATGATGCATTAGATCATGCCGATCGGGTTGTCGAAGAGGCTGGGCTGGAGGTAGATGGCGAGGGAGCGAAGCCAATGGTCACACTGAGCCTCGCGACCAGGGTTCAGAGAAACATACTTATCAGAGAAGTCCTTCACAACTTTTGAAGCCATCGAGGTCGATGAGCAGGGGCCCTCAACCGGCGAAGAGTTGACAGCCACTTCCGATCCCTGAAGAACCGCTTCTGGGTGCTGGGACAAGTAGTTCTCGAAGAGATGAGAGCCTGTCTTTTGAGTCTGAGAGAGTGTACACACCGTGCTGGCCGCAACCTCAATTCCATCATCTTCGATAATAACATAAATAAGTGATGGGCCAGTAATCTCATCTTCTTCACTGCTCTGCTGCACACAAAGGGCGATGTCAGTGATCTCCTCCTCCGAAGGAACAATTGGTATAATATCCATAGCTTCGTCTTCGCGGTCGCCAAGTTCCTGCTTTGGGAGCGAAGAGGCAATGGCAATAATCTCAGACAATAGGAAGGACCACTTAGGCTGGGCAGCTGCATTCCTCTTCCGACTCAAGAGCCCGAGCCGATTCGAGAGAGCGTTGTGACCTCCGCTGCGAAGACGGGCTTTCGCATCTTGCAGCCGCGAGCACCCGAGGGTTTCCAGAATAGCCTCTTGGATAATAATCGGGTCCTCATCCGCAGGGCGATTAGAATTGGCACTGAATTGGCAGATGGCCGCACGTATGGCAAAGCGGCGATCGCTGGAGCACAGCGAGGAAGCGGCAATGGAGTCGAACGCACCAGTGAGCTCCATGGGCCGTGAGAAACATCTGCAGAGAGGGAGCAATCGCGCCGCCGCCAGCTCGCCAAATGGCTTGAGCCAAAATGGCTACGGAAAAAACCCAGCTGGATGTAGTGTTTCGCGACGCGTGCCTTGTGCTGGCGTGGAGCTCCGGAATGAGGAAGCCAGCGAGCTGGCTAAAGGGCTTCGCGGGACTGGCAGTGGGGCCGGAGGATTGGGCCTGTGAGCACGAGCGCCACCTGCGTACCGCGGGCTCGTTATGCTGCGCGCCTGGGCTGGGCGAGCGTTGCTGGGGCGCGGTGGCCCCGGCCTCCTCCACGCCAGTGTCGGCGTGTCGGGACCTGCCGAGACGACCCCTGTTGGGCTGGGGTGCCGACCGAGATCTCCAATTGCGGGGACGCTCCGGGCGGGGAATCCATCCGAGCCCCGCCGTCGGCGGGAGGATCCACGCCGTCGTCGGTCTGGAGGGCGTGGGCGGTAGGGGTCAGCGTGATGCCGGCGTCCTTTAGCGAGCCAAGGTAGCCGAGAAGCAGGGCCCTGTCGTGGAGAGGGACCGCGCGAACGACGCGGCGAAGGGACGGGTGATGCTGAGACATATAGGCGTACCAGAGCAGATTCGGGGGCCGCCTCCCGTTGTCCCCGTCCGGGTCCGTCGCCCCAGTGGCAGAGCTGCCCCTGCACGAGGAAGTGCAGCTCCCCGTCGGAGAGGGCGCGGAGATCGTCCACGTCGGCCTGGGCACCATGGGCGGGGGGATTGGGCTCCGGAGGGTTAGGACCTGGAGCGTCGGGTTCCACCTCTGGGGCAGCGCGGAGACGGTGTGGGTTGTGGTACCCGCCGTCGTCGGAATTGGATTCGTCGCCGCCTGTGGGCGGGGGCTTCTCCGTTGCCTGGGGGCCGTCTCGGTCGCTGGCGCCGGGAGGGAGTCCACGGGCGCCAGCGGGCGGAGACTTCACGCGCTTGCAGTCCTGGGCGTGGGCGTCGCCGCGACCCTCGCTGGCGGCAGCAGGGTGGGATCCATTGCTGCCGACAGGCGCCGCGTTCAGCGGTGGGCAGGGAGCCGACGAGGCGGAGGCACCGCCACTGGACGTGGGCGGGCCGCCGTTTCCCCCAGGGGAGGGCTCCTGCGGAGGGATACCGTCCTGATGAGGGAGGCGTCCAGCGAAAGGAACTCGGCGACGGACCAGGCCGTGGGAACGCCAGTGGGATCGAGCTGGGGGAAGCCAAGCTGGACCCACCTGTTCGCCAGGAAACGGCGGAGCTGGTCGTCACTCCACGCATTGGGCTTGGTCCGCTCTGGGCGCACCGACCCGTTGCGCCTGGAAAAGGCATCCCATTCCGCTTCCCCGTAGGTGGCGTCGACCGCAGCAGTGACGCCCGCGAGACGCTCCGATGGGAGGGCCAGGAGGGCGGCGCGGAGCAGGCGGTAGCTGTCGGTGCGGTCCGCCAGGACTTGGCTGGCGGCGTCGTCGGCCTGGCCGGCTGGCGGTGGGCGGCTCGCGACGGGCGCCTTCGCCGAGTGGGGGCGAGCGGAGGGAGCAGCGAGAAGGGGGTCCTCTTGCGGCCTGGCCTGCCCTGCAGGGAAAGGCGTGGCGAGGCCGGAGTCCTCCCCGCCGAGGCAGACCTGGCAGCAGTCCTCGGCGGCGCCAGGAGGGAGGAAGAGACCGAAGATGAGCCCAGGAGTCAGGTGATCAGTGATGGCTCGGAGGGCCCGCACGGCAGGATTGTCCCGATCCCACTTCTCGGCTGTGAGGGAGCGCAACTCAGCGGGGTCAGTGAGCAGACTCCCCAGGCGCGTAGCAAACGAGCCGCAGCACGGCCTTCAGGGAGGACTCAGTGGCAGTGCGGATGTCCGCGAAGTCGTCGACTGGGAGAGCGAAGCCACCGAGGACACGGTCTCGCGCGCAGTGACGAGGCGGAGTAAGTCGAAAGCAGCGGGCAAAGCGCACGGCCAGGCCCTCAACACACACGCACACACACACAGACTTGTTAGCGGTCGCGGCCTCGCGCGGACCGACACGCGCACGCACACACACACACACACACACACACACACACACACACGCGCACACACGCACACACGCACGCACGCACGCACGCACGCACGCACGCACGCACGCACACACACACACACACACAAACACACACACACACAAACACACACACACACACGCACGCACGCACGCACGCACGCACGCACACCCACACCCACACCCACACCCACACACACACACACACACAACACACAACACACAACACACAACACAACACACACAACAGAAACACAACAGAAAACAACACAACACAACACAACACAACACAACACAACACACACACAACACAACACAACACAACACAACACAACACACACACACGCATGCACGCACGCACGCACGCGTACGCACGCCCACCCACCACCCACACCCACACCCACACCCACACACCCACACCCACACCCACACCCACACCCACACCCACACACCCACACCCCCCACACCCACACCCACACCCACACCCACACCCACACCCACACCCACACCCACACCCACACCCACACCCACACCCACACCCACACCCACACCCACACCCACACCCGCACGCACGCACGCACGCACGCACGCACGCACACACACACACACACACACACACACACACACACACACACACACACACACACACACACACGCGCACACACACACACAGCGCGCGCGCGACACGCACGCACGCACGTGTGCACGAAGGCCTCTCAAGGGTAAAGCAAACTACCAGCTCCGCCACACGGAGGGCGAAAAACACAGGGGTGGCGGAGTCGAGACTACTACAGAGACGATCAGCCTGGGCAGCCCGCCCTTGAAATGAAAACAAGTGTCCCGATCGAGCCAGGGGGCCCGAGTCCAGCTCCACTCCAGACTTCGGGTGCATACCTTCACGACTTCCGAGACCAGGCGCGAAGTCGACGATGGTCGCAGGGATCTTGCGTGGGCGAGGAGGAAGGACGAGGAGGAGGAGGAGGAGGAGGAGGAGGAGGAGGCTGCCAGAGGTTGGGCCTGGCCGAAGGTACCCCCAGCTTTTCGGGACACTTTGGAGCGCCAGGCACACCCTGAGACTGGTGAGGGGTGCTCTGGAAGCCATCTGGACCTTCCTGAAAAAGCTGGGCTCTTTGGGCCAGGGTCACCTCTGGCAACACCCGAAGGTAGGAGAAGTTGAACTGGCATGAGCGGAACGAGCGGGTCCTGGAGGAAACAGGTCCTGGAACTTTCCGCAGCACCAGCGTTTTATCCTGAACCATTTCTTGACAGTCCCGTCGCCTGGGTAGGGCCAGGGGCAACGAAAACTGCGAAAAAATCCAGGACCCCTTCGTGGAGACCCCCCCCCCTTCGCCTGAAGAATCGGGCCCCAGCCGCATCCAGGAAGGCGTCCTGCGCAGAACTCCGAGAAAAGGCCAGCCGTGGCGGCGAGAAGCCTCCCGCAGGCTCTATAGAGCGGACCCCAGGCTCCTCCAAGACTGCCAAACTGGGTCCTGGCCAAAATTCTGAGGGGACCCCTGTCCGTCGTGCCGAAGGTCCACGACCTCCACCTTCCGGCGCCTTCCGTGCGGCTGGGCGGCGGCGACGCGCGGGCGCGGCACCCTTCAGAGGACGCCAACCATACACCTACACCGATCCAGATCAGGCCCATCCTGGCCCCAGGATCGGTGTGTATCTCCAGCATAGCCCCTACGCCGATCGTGGGCGAGGCAGGGCTGGCATGGGCGTATAGCCAGCGCCCTCCGAACTCCGAGCCCTGCCGTGCGGGCGGAGCGGCAGCGTGGAGGCCGAGGAGGGCAAGGCGGAGCCGAGACGGCGAGCGGGCCGGCCGCGCCTTGCCGTCCTCCACGGCGGCGCTGAGGCCGTCGATCTCCTGCGGCCCCAGGGCGGCCCGGCGGCGCGGGCCGGCGAGGCCGCCACCCCCGCAGCCAGGGGTTGCTAGAAAGGTGCACCTGGTACAAGAGGTGCCCACTGCAGGCTTCCGCTCCATCTTGGAGCCCCTGGGAGTCAAAATTGGCCTCCGGAGGCCGTGGGGGCCTCCTTGGGGATCCTGGGGTGGGCTACACGCAAGAGTGACCATAGGCAAGAGTGACCTTTGGTGCGCGACCTGAGGGTGCCGCGGGGAAGCACATCCAAGCGCGAGGGCCAATGCTGTGGGGACCCCTGTGGGCCCGCATCAAGGGTCACACCGACGAAAGGTCACTCGTACGCGGAGCCGACGGGGGCACCCTGGGCCAAAGACTCCTCAGGCGGCACCCTGGGCCAAGCCGGTCACGCCAGCGGGGCTCTCTGGCGGCGCCGCGAGCGGCCAGCGCCACGCTCGGCAGCGAGGCGGAATCGGCGGCCGCCGCAGGCGCAAAGCGGCGGGGCGCTCGCTGCCGCGGCGTTCGCTGCCGCGGCGGCGGGGCGGCGGCGGCGGCGACGGCAGCGGCGGCGCCAAGCGTCTGCCACGGCGGGGCGCTGGCGCGCACCTCGTCGGATCGGTGTTTCTTCGCCGTCCTGTTTTTCCTGCCTCCTCCTCCTCCTCCTCCTCCTCCTCCTCTCCTCCTCCTCCTCCTCATCATCATCATCATCATCATCATCATCATCATCATCATCATCATCATCATCATCATCATCATCATCATCATCATCATCATCCCACCACCACCACCATCACCATCGTCATCACCATCATCATCATCATCGTCATCGTCATCATCATCATCATCATCATCATCATCATCATCATCATCATCATCATCATCATCATCAGAATCATCATCATCATCATCATCATCTTCATCATCATCATCATCAGCAGCAGCATCATCATGAATCGTCATCATCAGCAGCAGCATCATCATCAGCATCATCGTCATCATCAGAATCATCATCATCAGCATCAGAATCATCATCAGCAGCAGCATCATCACCATCGTCATCATCGTCATCATGAGCATCATTATCAGCACCATCATCATCACCATCATCATCATCAGCATCATCATGATTACCATCGTCATCATCATCATCATAATCACCACTACCACCACCACCATCATCATCAGCATCACCATCAGCATCACCACCATAATCATCATCAGCAGCATCAGCATCATCACCATCATCATCACCATCACCACCATCATCATCATCATCATCATCATCACCATCACCATCATCATCATCATGATCAGCATCATCATCGTCAGCATCATCATCAGCAGCAGCATCATCATCATCGTCCTCGTCATCGTCATCGTCATCATCATCATCAGCAGCAGCATCAGCAGCAGCATCAGCATCATCATCAACACCACCATCATCATCATTATCATCAGCATTATCATCAGCATCATCATCATCATCATCATCATCATCATCATCATCACCATCACCATCACCATCACCATCACCATCACCATCACCATCACCATCACCATCATCATCATCATCATCATCATCATCATCATCATCATCATCATCATCATCATCATCATCATCATCATCATCTTCTTTATCTTCATCTTCATCTTCATAACCATCGTCATCGTCATCGTCATCGTCCTTTTCTCCGCCTCCCCTCCATCCACCTCCTCCTGCTCCACCACCTCCACGTCCTACTCCCTCTCCTCGTCCTGCTCCACCTCCTTCCTCCTTCTTCTCTCCTCCTCCTCCTCCTCTCTCCTCCTCCTCCTCCTCATCCTCCTCCTCTACCTTCCTGCGGCCTCCCCTCCCCACTCCTTCCTTCTTCCTCCTCCTCCTCCTCCCCCCCTCTCCTCCTCTGGGCCCCCGTGGCCCTCCAGCGAGGCCCGACGCGCGGTCCTCCTGCAGCCTGGTGCGGGTGACCTTGCTCTTGCCGATTTCGGTGTCGCAGAAGCCCTCCGCAGGGCAGGCGGCGCGCAGGTGGCGCAGGGAGGAGGAGGAGAGGAGGAGGAGGAGAGGAGGAGAAGGAGGAGGAGGAGGAGGGGAGGAGGAGGGGAAGGAGGAGGAGGAGGAAAAAGAAGAAGAGGAGGAGAAAAAGGAGGAGGAGGACGACGACGACGCCGCCGCCGCCGCCGCCGACGACGACGACGACAACGACGACGACGACGACGATGACGACGACAACGACGACGACGGTGACGCCGGTGACGTCGACGCCGCCAACGATGACGGCGGCGGCGACGGCGGCAGCGACGGCGACGGCGTCGACTCGGACGAGTCCGCCGAGCAGGAAGAGCGCCTGCTGGTCGCGCGGTCACGCTGCCTGCGCTGCCTGTGCGCCGAGGGCCGGGCGGGGCGCCAAAGGGGCAGGAGGCGTGCCTGTATGGCTGCGGCGCCAGAAGGCCGAGCGTGCCTGCGCTGCTGGAACGCCTCCAGCATCAAACAAACAACACGCAAGCAAAGCACAAAATTCCATTTCTGTCTGAGAATGGGAGATCCCCCCCTCCCCCCCCCCCCCGCGAGGTCCCAGGAGGGCCCGGGAGGCCTCCAGAGTGCCAAGAGGGTCCAGGGAGGCACAAAGAGCTGAGAGAGACCGAGGCAGTGGCACGCGCCTACATGGCTCGGCGTGGGCAAACCACCAGTAGCTGCTCGGTCATCAGAGTGGGCTTCTCGACCACTCGCTGAGCTCGGTGGAGTGGAGACGCTCGAGTGGACGAGGCCAGGCAGCCCTGTTGCCTCCCACCGGCAGGTCTTCAGCCAGTCTTCAGCAGAGGCTTGAAGAGGTACGCGCACCATTCCGACATGACCAGACGGTCTTCCTGCCACGCCCAGATCCGCTCGCCTGCTGCTGGACCGATATAGGGCACTCGGAGCCGCGTCCACACAGGGCGACGAGGGTATCCTCCCTGGCGCACGAGGGTACGCAATGATGAGCAGGTAGCTGATTTCGTGCGTCAACAAGAAGGAGTCCGCGACAACAGCCACCGCAAAGCTGCGCCACTCTTCCGCAAGCACCCTCGAAGCGCGGCGGGCCGGCGCGGGCAATCGGCGAAGCAAGCGCCCTTGCAACTGACTCGTCTCCGACAGCGCTCACTCATGAGACACTGAGAAACAATCAGTGGTCGATGTGCCTGTGCCGTGCTTGAGGAGAGGCCTTTCTTTCTCACACCAGCATCGAAGGCATCATTTCGGAACTAAGGTCCGCGCACTGGGCGGCGGGCGGCGCTGACGCTGCCCAAAGTCTGCCGTTCGCATACACTAAATAACAATTACTGGCCTGTGTGCCTCTAGCAGCTATCTCACAAACTGGCCGCCCTCGTGTTTGAAGAGCGGCCTGGGGTGATCATTCGTGCTGTCAGGCTGGACGGCGATTGCACCCAGTGCCAACTACTCTGAAAAACTTAAACCTTATAGCGGGCGTTTGTCCGATCCCAACCCATGGACCGAGCTCCTGCCTGGAACCCATGTGCTTTGCTCGCAGCGCACTTGAAACAGAGCTTGAGCGGTGTGCCGCACCTGCAGGAAGATCGAGTGAAGGGGAAGAGGGGGCGACTGCATGATTGTGTGGCCGGTTGGGTGTGTGTGTGGTCCATTGCATGTTTGTGTGGCCCGGCGCGCAGCCAGATGCGTGCTGCTGTTCCTCACGCTGGCCCGTCAATCAAGAGTAACATGAAATAGACTTCATTGGTTAGCTGAAAACCTTTCTGGAAAACTCTGAAGGGTTGCATACCGCCCAAGAAGAAGGTGGTCACACAAAATCCCATCTCGATGCATGTTGAAAGCAATTTGGTACGAGTGGTAATAGTAGTAACAGTGCTAGCGGCGGTGGTGGCAACGGCACTAATGGTAGTAGTAGTAGTAGTAGTAGTAGTAGTAGTAGTAGTAGTAGTAGTAGTGGTAGAAGTAGTAGTAGTAGTAGTAGTAGTAGTAGTAGTAGTAGTAGTAGTAGTAGTAGTAGTAGTACTAGTAGTACTAGTAGTACTACTAGTAGTAGTAGTAGTACCAGTAGCAGTAGCAGTAGCAGTAGTGAGTCGTAGTAGTAGTGGCAGTGGTAGTAGTAGTAGTAGTAGTAGTAGTAGTGATAGTGATAGTGATAGTGATAGTAGTAGTAGTAGTAGTAGCAGTAGCAGTAGCAGTAGCAGTAGCAGTAGTAGTAGTAGTAGTAGGAGGAGGAGGAGTGGTAGGAGTAGTACTAGTAGTTGTAGCAGTAGTAGTAGTAGTAGTAGCTGTAGCTGCTGTTGTTGTAGTAGTAGTAATAATAGTAGCATTCGAAGTAGTGGTCGTAGTAGTAGTACTAGTACTAATAATATAATAGTAGTCGAAGTAATAGAAATAGAAGTAGTAGCAATATAGGAAGAAGAAGTAGTAGTACGAATAAAAAGTGTAAGCAGAAGAAACAAGGCGAATTAGAGTAAGAGTAAGCAAAGATCGACACTACTAATAGCAGTAGTCACAATACTAGAACTATGTGTAGTAGTAGCAGTTGCTGCTGTAGGAGTAGGAATAGGAGTAGTAGTAGTAGTACTAGTAGTGGGTAACAGTAGTAGTAGTAGTAGTAGTAGTAATAGTAGTAGTAGTAGTAGTGGTAGTAGTAGTAGTAGTAGTAGTGGTAGTGGTAGTGGTGGTAGTGACTGTAGTAGTAGTAGTAGTAGTAGTAGACAAAGAAAGGATAGTAGTGCTAGTGGTAGTTGTGGTATTGGTATTAGTTGGTTGAAGTAGTCGTAATACTAATAGTGATAAGAATAGCAGCAGCAGTAGTAGTAGTAGCATTAGCCGTAGTAATAACAGCAGTAGGAGACATAGTATTAGTAGCCGTAGCAGTAGTAGTAGTAGTAGTAGTAGCGAGTTTAGCTGTAGTACGTCATAGTAGTAGTAATAGGAGTAGTAGTAGTAGTAGTAGTAGTAATAGTAGTGATAGTAGAACGAACAGTCGTAAGAGTAGTAGTAGTGGTAGTAGCAGTAATAGTATTAGTAGTGGTGGTAGTAGTCGTAGTCGTAGGTGGTAGTAGGTAGTAGCAGGTCGTGGGAGGTCGCCGTAGGTCGTAGTAGGACGTCGTGATAACCCTAGTAGTCCGGGTAATCCCAGTAGTACCCGTAATGGCCGCACTAGAAACAATGTAATGGCGGTGGAAGCGGCAGTCGTCGTAACAATAATCGTTGCTGCAGCACTGATACCAGTAGCAGTAGCAAACGACCCACGAGGACCAGCACCAGTACCAATAGCAGGTGGTAGTAGTAGTAGTAGTTGTTGTAGTAGTAATAGTAGCAGTAGTAGTAGTATTTGTAAAAATGGTAATAGCAGTAGGAGGAGATGAAGGAGGAGTAGTAGTAGTAGCAGTAATACTAGCAGCAGTACGCGTAGTAGTACTAGTAATCGTATAAAGAGTAATAAGAATCATGATGGTAGTCGTCGTCGCCGTCGTCCAGCAATAATACTAGTAGTTGTAGTAGCAGCAGTGCAAGTAGTAGAAGTAATACCAGGAGTAGCGGTAGGAGTGGTAGTAGTAGTAGTAGTAGTACTGGTAGTAGTTGCTGTAGTAGCCGTAGTATCAGTAGTAGTAGTAGTAGTAGTAGTAGTAGTAGTAGTAGTAGTGGTAGTAGTAGCACAAGTACAGCAGAAGTAAGAGTAGTAGAAGTAGTAGTAATAGTAGCAATAGTAGTAGTAGTAGTAGTAGTAGTAGTAGTAGTAGTAGTAGTAGTAGTAGTAGTAGTAGTAGCATTAGTAGTACAAGTGCCAGTACCAGTAGTAGTAGTAGTAGTAGTAGCAGCAGTAGCAACAACAACAACAAAAAAAGGGTAATAGCAGTAGCTGCAGTAGTGGTAGCAGCAGTCGCATGACAACACCAGTGGCTCTGGTAACGGTAGCAGATGCGATTTGACATGCCAGCCTTCAGTTCAAAGGGTGTTTGCATTCTCGCCTGTTCGGGCTTCCGTCGGCTCGAAATTGCCCAAGAGGCCTCCAAGATGGCCCCACGACGGCCCAACAGGGCCTCGAAATGGCCCAAGAGGCCCCCACGACGGCCTCAACACGGCCCTGGAAGGACCAAATAAAGCCTGAAACTGGCCTAAGAAGGCCCTTGGAGGGACCCGAGACGGCCTCAGATGATCCCTAGACGGCGCACTACGGCCTCACGACGGCCCCAAGAGACCCCCCAGACGGCCGCGAGGGCCCCAAGAGAACCCCAAGATAGCCCCGAGAAGGCCAAAGAGGGCGCCAAGGGAACCCCAAGACTGGCCCGCAAGAACCCAGGACAGCCCCAATACGGCAAAAATAAGGTTCATGAGGGTTCACCGAAAAATGAAGACGAAAGATGTCACATGTGACGGCTCTCCTCCGCCTTCTCCTCCTCCTCCTCCTTCTCTTCCTCCTCCTCATCCTCATCATCATCATCATCCTCATCCGTCTCCTCCTCCTCCTCCTCGCTTCCTGTTCCTCTTCCTCATCCGCGTCCTCCTCCTCCTCCTCCTCCTCCTCCTCCTCCTCCTCCTCATCCTCATCCTCCTTCTCCTCCTCCTCCTCCTCATTATCCTGTACCTGCTCCTCATACTCGTCATTCTCATCCGCTTCCTCCTCCTCCTGCCCCTCCTCCTCATCCTCATCCTCAGTATCCTCCTCCTTCTCCTCCTCCTCCTCCGCCGCCTATTCCTTCCCGTCCTCATCCTCCTCCTCCTCCTCCTCATCATCATCATCCCCCTCCTCCCTCCCCCTCCTCCTCCTCCTCATCCTCCTCCTCTCCTCCTCCTCCCTCCGCCTCCTCCCCATCCTCCTCCAGTTCCTCCTCCTCCACCTCCTCCGCCTCCGCCTCCGCATATTCCTCCTCATCCTCCTCCTCATCATCATCCGCCTCCTCCGTCTCCTTCTCCTCCTCCTCATCTTCCTCCTGAGCATCCTCATCAGCATCAGCATCAGCATCGGCAGCAGCATCAGCATCATCATCATCATCATCATCATCATC